GATTTTTGAACGTCAATACCTAAATAACCGTTTGAGGTATATTTATGAAATTTAAAGCTGATGTATATCTTGCAAGTCTCAATACATGAGCCAAATTTGAAGAGTTAATGCACAGTAGTTTTTGAATGATGAGGAGTCAAAAGTGGCTCCAATTGGTTCGTATAAATATACGCACGGTGCAGTCCCCTCCCTGGAACTAGGCTTAACATGCTCCCGCATGTCTATAGTGTTTGCTCAATGTTGATTTAGTCGATTTTCTCCTGATAGGAACATGTAAGACAAAAATTAAATTTCCAATTTTACAGACCTTCTAGAGCAGATGCCGCAAAAACTATACAAGATATAGAAAAACTTGACGGTCTCGCCTGTAGCAAATTGAATAAGCTTTTTTTGGTTCATAGTAGTCATGTCACTAGGACGCATAGTTTCCGAGGATTAAGCGAAAAACCGAAAAGTGGTACCTTTAAACCCCCCTCTCCCTGCCGGCTCAAGGGCTAAGGGCGGGGACTTTTGCTATGTTCACCACCTAACTAGGCTAAATAAAGTCCCGAGGTCAGAAATTGTGTTCCACGGATTTCACTCTACACCGTCGTTAAGGCATTCATTGACTGGACTAAAGGCTTTTAGAATGTTATCTAAAAAAGCATAACATTAATTATTAGTATAATAGTATCTTTATTATACGTATTATCTATTCCTTTAATAACTATCAATAATGATTACTTGCCTTGCTAATGTAACTTTTTGTCTCGTCGTAAATAACAGAAGGGAAAAAACTCATCGGAGGCCTGTAGGATTCGCACGATTGTCTTGGCGAATATAGTTTTTCTATATATTTTTCGATCGCAAGTACGTTTCTACGTTTGCTTTAATACACAATGATAACTTGCTCCAGACAGCTACTTCCAAATGCGGATGGAATAGGTCGTATACTAACTTGACCTTATTATTGACTTGAACATAAGACTAATAAGACAACCTTTACTAAGGTCGTTTGGGGTAAGGCTAAGGCTTTTTCTAGTACCGGTTTACGAGCCTGTTTATTGTCTCTGTCTACTCAACTAGATGTTGAGTCTTTCTGTGTCTATTCGATCAAACAAAAGAGATCTCATTTACCCACACTTTCCCATGTTGTCGATTACCATGGAAAGTGAAATTGTGGTTTCTTTGCACCATGAGATGTTACAAGTTGTAAACTTTGTAAACTATGGAAACAATGCAAAGTACAGTAAAAACCATATTACAGCACATACTTGTAAAAATGACTAATCTTCTTGCATGACATAACAGGTAAAAAGTGTTTTTGAGCGTTCAAATTCCAAATCATATTTATGGACGCACACAATTCTCATTTGGACTCCTAAAAACGTTATTTTGAATATTACGAGTAATCCTGGTTTCTCCAAAACCTTTCCTTTTACAAAAAGTAGGTAACAGAAGGAATCATAGACAAATTATATTCACGGAATAAGCAGACGAAAGCATTCACTATAAATGGGCAATTAACTTGTTCCACGAAGTCGAATCCTTTGATGGTAACCCATTGCTTCCCAAATCTTGACTTGGGAGTTCTAGGTTTTAATTACTCTGCATAACATGAGAACAATTCAGTTTTCGAGTGCTTTAAAAATAGGTTCGATAAATCGGAAATAGTAGAAATCTAATTCTCAAACGGTTTGTTTCCGTACTTGAATTCAAGTTTCAATTTGAATGCTAAGAATACATCTCCTGTGTATCTTTTAATCAGTTTTCAAAGTTGATACATTAATAAATTGTCTCCAAGTACCTAATAGAAGTACCTAAAAGCGTAATGTACGAGTATTAGGTAACACTAATTAAAAATAACGGACTCGTAACATGATAGTAACTGAATTCGAAAATTGGCTCTACTAATCAACGATTCTACGGATGTTAGTTGAAATTTTGATTGTATTTTTAGTCATCATTACATACGAACAAACTGAACTGGCACAATACTTTTGTGAATAACAGTATTAGATGCCCAGATTATATCTCGCGCATTATTCGCGGCGCGATGATGTCACGTCATGTTCCGTTTTCGCTGACACAGCTATTACGAAGTTAAAACATTTTAGGAACTTTCTAATTGAATATTTCATGTAAAATTAACATGACTGTTCTTTTTTTATTTTAACTATTAAATCACTTGAAGAAAAATATCATTTCGAGATTTATTTCAAAACTATACTACTCTATAAAATTCAGCGTGTTTTGAAAAAGAATCGTCATTTTTTCTATCTACTGGCTTTTTATTTCTGAAATGATTGACCAAATCGGTTTTGCAACTTAAGAAATCAATTTATTGGGCTAAAACAAGGACGGCAACAATAAGTTCGTTTACATTACGAGCACGACCTCTACGCTATATTTACTTTCAGCGCTCGTACTTTTCTCAAATTAAAAACTATGACGTCTGTTATGATATGCAGTGCTGTTGAGCTTTTAGATAATAATATTTTGTTGTTATTTTAAACTTACTCCAATTAATTATCCGTGACCCAGAATATTGTTATTCCTTAAATATTAAGCATTAGGTGTAATTTAATCTCCTGAATATCATTGGGCATATAGATTTGGAACATGATAATCGTCATGTCACCTGTGTCACACGGTTTAGCCTTTGCCTTAATTGAAGTTAATAATGATTTAAAGACACTTCGCAGTGTTCCAGTTCCCTTTCTGACGTGGTACGATATGAACGCCGGATCCAATACTGCAGGGACACTAGTCTGGCTTCAAAATCGAGTGACAAGTGATTTCATCAAGAAAAATGAGAACAGTTTATTTACTTTATTGGAAAAAGCTCGTTGAAGTCTTATTTATTAGTGTCCTTTTACGCTACGAAGTCTACGAAAATAGACGAACAAAAAAATAGTTTTATATTTGTGACTAATATTTTATGATTGAAACGTGGCACGTACGCGGTGTAAACTAACAGTGTTAAACTTTGAATGCATAGTTAACACGAGGAGCATATTAATGTGAATATGTTGCGCAATGAAGGTACAGCATTGATTCATCAACATGGGCGTCTAAAGAATGCAGTTACTACATTCCTAGGTATTGTACCCAACGTTTATACTTGTTGGTAATCTTCCTTATAATATCTAAATATAGAACGTACGTATTGGTGTTGTGACGATGTTGATAAGAAATGCTCTACTGCTGACGAATTTATCAATCGTAAACACATTGTAGAACAATACTATCCATTTTTGTCACATTCATTGTCTTCTTTATCATTTCTACGTGTTGTTACAGAATACATAACAGTATAGGTAATTGTTAACGGTGACTACAAATGACCTAATGACCAATTTTACACTTTTAAATGCCTACGCTGTATAAATGTAGAGTGACAATAAACACATTGTACTCTCAACTTTTATTTTCACGTTCATAGTATTTTGTTTACTACTGCAATTTATCAATGGAAGTCGTCGATATGAATGATAGACTCGATTGATAATACTAGTAAATAGGTACATTTATATACGTCAGCACTTCAGCAGTAATGAAAGGTATAAATATAGTGAACGTTAAGTGCGTTGGTGTCGCACCATTGATCACCGTGGGCGCTCGAGTCGTCGATGTGACGCCACGGGGCCGTCACATGAGTCACGATCACTTGCCATTTATGAGCCACCCATCACTGCCATGCCATCGCGGTCTGTCGCCCCGCTTAGCTAGACGTCTTCGTCTAAGACCGCAACACTTGCAAACTCGCAATAATTGATGCCAACACCAACACGCCCCGATGGATTTCTATGCCTTCTTCACGCCTACATATTCCATACATAATGTAGCAGTAATAGTAATAACTGTAGGGATATAATATTTTGTCAATTTGAAAGGTCTCACACTACCAGAAATGTATAGTCCATATAAGAAACGGTCATTATAACAAATTGTGAATTTTGACCTCGTATTTCTTTCTTAAAGCGATGTTTGATAATTGTGAAAACTAGGTAGGTAGTTAGCTAGATTATTTGGTACAGAGATAAGGTAATTGCGATGTTGATGTCCCAATCGGGCCTTTTCTTATCAGTCCGTATACCTAACTACAGCATTCCTTTCAAATCTAAGTCAGCTAAGATTAAATTTAATGAATGCCCAAGAAAAAGTTAGGCAAGATTAATAACGGACTCATTATTTCCTACTTTAGGTTATCTCAGTTCAAAGCTCTTTACAAAGTTGGTGTTCTTGGCAGAATGGATATTTTTTCTTCTGTCGTTCCTCGCATATAAATTGCTGGTAGAGCCGTGATTTGTTTTATGCATGTCTCGGTCTACTTGGATTTTCTTGTAAATTCAGGTGATCAATTATTGCAGTAAGCACGTACATAATAACTTTAACTTATCTACATAAAACCTTTCTCATCGTTTAAAATAAATATATTCTTTTAGTAGGATTTAGTTTAAGGTTATTTCCATTTGTCGACGTATCATTGAGATAAAGTTCATTGTTACTTTGTGAACTTAAGAACAAGCGATCAATATGATTGTTCAAGTGATGAATTGTGGACTTTGGCGAGATGAGAAAGTCGTCTGTTGTAGGTATGTTCGCAGTTCCCGCTGGTATTGTGATAGTCACGGACAGTTCTTGACAATAGACACTCGACGTAATGGGGCCATTGATTGTGTGGATGTAGTGTGTGACTGCCTACTATTGGGCGGGCAGGCATCTCTTGGTGACCATATTTATACAATGTGATTTTTTCTGTTACTTTTCATTCCTCCATGCCATCACACTTTCAATGTAGATAATTTCATGCTATTATGTTTCTTTACAATAAAAATACATTGGAATATCAGTGTTTAAATTAGATAAGATTTTTATCTGTTCCCACATCACAATGCATCATTCATTGTGCATGTGAATAGAATATGAATGACAGATGTTTAAATTATAAATAAGTAGGAGCGCGTTTGTTTACAATATTACCTGTAATTAAAGGTAGTTTTTGTGTTTGTTTGCAGCTAATAAGAAACAGAATGGTTCTACGGTGCGCACGAATAGCCTCGGCTCGGGCGCCCGCACGCCACCTGTCGAGCGGACCAAATCCAAGTTCTCTGCTTTCGGCAGACTCTTCAAGCCGTGGAAGTGGAAACGGAAAAAGAAATCGGAAAAGTTTGAAGCTGCTTCTAGAAGTAAGTATTTGATGATATGATAAGTCAGCAGTAAAAAAATTCAGCCCGATAGCCACTTGCCACTAACTGCCTAAACTTAGCGCTAGTGTGGGCTTTATTTTGAAGTAAGGTACCTATAAATTTATAGAATCATGAAAGTATAAAGTTGTAGCCAAAAAAAAGAGACTGAGAGCTTCGGTTTTGTAGAGAATCTCTGTCAATCAAAGAAGATCACTCGTTTGTCTATCGTAGATCGATTGTCTTACCGACCGAGATCATTAACCAGCTGATTAAATAAATAAAATAAAATTTAATTTCACCATTTCTTTTGATCTTTGGTTTTAGTTCTGCTTCTATTGTCCCGGTAGAGTTCCATTATGAACATATTTGTGTGAAGCTCTACAAAACCGATGCTACTTGTTTCTCTGTAAAGGTCGTTATGAATTTATTGTTACAACTAGGCACTTTATCGTAGGTAGCTTATTAATTATTTCAAATAATATTTGATAAATTATCTATTTGCGACTGCAGTTGTACCTAATTCTTCCTGACGTTGATTATGAAATAAATGTCTTGTTTTTTGCAAACATGTCCATCAACGCAATTAATTTAATTTATTACCGAAATTTTTATTACGTTTGATACCAACGTATTGATGTAATAAAATATATCCTTTTCTATTTGCAGCATTAGAAAGGAAAATATCCGTCCGTGCGAATAGAGATGAGTTAGTGCAGAAAGGCATCCTCTTACCGGAAAGTCCAGTGACGCCCGTGGCTGAAGCAGGTAAATGTTCTGAAATACTTATTTAATATTATACCTACATACATTTTAAATGACAATACCGTTTAACAACATTTTCATTAATTGTCAAAGAAGAACGGTCATCTGTGACCCAGGCCCGACAGAATCGAGACATACCTCAGTTTTTTTGTCATGTCTTAATTAGTTAAATTATATATTTTTTATATTCGAAATCTATGTACAACACCAAAATATTACCCTTTGTTTTTGTTCAGGCGTTATACAAAACCTAATACAAAATTCATATTTATCACCAAAATTGGTAAATGTATGTACCTAAATGTCTATTACAGCTGCTATGGAATGTATCTAGGTGAACTAGAGATACAACCGGATTATACAGGGTGGAAACGATAAGTGATCCACTCGATTATCTAATAAAATGAATCTATTTTTTACCAATTTAATAAGTATCCGCAATCGAAATCGGACATTGAAATTACAAGATAGAATTCGTGTTGGCCAGAGTAATGCTACAAATCTGTAGCTACGCATGAACGAGAAAGTTAGATAATTTTCTTGTGCAGTCCATGATGCGTTTACGCTATTACCATTATGTACACAAAGCATAATCAACCCAAAATGTATCGCTGTAAATGTTGAATTTGCGTCCAGATGGATTGACTTGTGTTGCGCAAATTTTTGTAATAACCTGCTGAAGTTGTGTAGAGCTGCGGCTATGTGTGACATTTAATGTTATTTTTGAAAGCTAAGTTCTGTAACTTAGATTGCTTATGTAACGCTACATTCTTAACGCTTAGAACAGACATGCTTCTTTTCTGTTCGATTTTGGTTGCGAGGAATTCGGGCTTGGGTAACAAAAATTATGTCGCTCGTTCTATGGGTGACCCAACATTTTAGAACACATTTATCTATTAGTTTCTATACCATGTATACAAGTTTATACGTTACCAAGAATTTCATTTAAATTAAACGACTGGCTGATTTACTCTACGTAATCAAATCAAACTCAATCTTTTGCAATTTACGTTGCCTGTTCTTTAAATCGAGTTAAGACATACGACGTCCTGTGTCTGATACAGTAGCTTATTTAGATTCTATATCATATTTGGTAAATGTAATTGGAATAGAGAAAGTAAAAATATGAATATTGTAATAGTAGACTGATTTATTTATTATTATTTATTTATATCTGCAATATCGACCCATTTTTATGACTTCGATAAATGGTTTTTGTAGTGTTATGCTAAGTGTAAAAATCCAAAAGTGAAAACTAACAGTTTAGAGAAATCAGATAAAAATCGAAAATGTGTGAATTCGTGACGATATTGGTGTTCCACACCAATTACTTTGATAATTGCTGGCATTACTATTTTAGTATGTTATAGTGCGTTTTCGTTTATAATTATGACCCCCAGACATGCATATGGTTTTTCTTCAATAGAAGAAATGTGATAGTATGACTATCTTTTTCTTGTGTTTCACTTTTAATTTGTAATTTCTTTTTACAAATTCACCGCCATTAATAATACGAATACAGTAAGATGTAGGTTATCTACTTTATACTTGTTAATTCTAAATATATTAATTAATCATTTTTCAAGACATAAATCAACTATTGAATTAATCGTCCTTGTTAATGATTTAAGTATTATCTTATCAAGAAAAATATGACGTGATTGAATTTAAGAAATTATCATAAAATATTTACGCTATCTTGTCGTTTTATCATTCTCAATTTTGCGCAGTCTGGAGATTAATTTTCCCAAAAGCCATATAAATGAGTGCGTGTTTCAGATAGAGCAACATCCATCATTGAGCTGGAAACTTTGGTTGATATTAACTTGGTTTTAATAATGAAAAAATTAGGTTCAGTATTGTTTTGCCACAACCCATTACGCTTTTAAATCGTTAAATTACATATAATTACTGATGACACTTGACAATCGATTGATATATTGATAAAGTGAGCGATTGGCTTACGCAGGCTTCGATGTTACGCTTATGTATAATGATTCTGTCAGTTGGTTAATTTAATTATACTTCAAAAGGCATATCCGCGAGTTTGGTATTGATTCCTGATTTGAATAAATCGGATATTGATTATTGAGAGTCATCGCCAACGTACGGCAACGATGTCCGGTGTAATCCGGGTTCCGGGTGGGCCGTAAACCGGCTTCATATCGATACCTACGTGAATGAATTAATGAAGTAGTATACTAATGAATAAGTTAGTTATGGCGTGGATAATGGATTGATATTGATGCAGATAAGGAAGTTTATCTCATTGAGTTCATCCATCATGTATTTCAGCTCGATGTACTAGAAATGTATGTAATTACCTCCTGATTTCCGTGTAGGTTTGCACGTAGAATACTGTAAATTTCTATGCAGTCGCAGCTTGAAGCTGTCGATATTAACTGCTTGATTAATAAATAAAAAATAAAAAGACATTTATTTCAGGCTAGGGCCCATAAAATTTCAATAATAATTGCATTAATTAATGTTTATGGTGTCTTGTTATTCAGTGAGAAATCATCGCTGTCGTACAGCGACGAGCGCAGCGAGCTGAGCGGGAGCGGCGGCTTAGTTAGAATCCTAATTGTTTAGTTAGTAAATCCCAAAGGGTCGTTATCGTTATAGATTGGAACGCTGACCGCCATCTTGTATTGTTTCCATGTGACTGATTGATTTTTTTGATTTGGTTTCTCCTGGCCTGGAATTTTACCGAATACTTTTTCATAAGCTTAATTTTCAAACTGCTTATGTCCATTTTTTCAAACTTTACAGGAGAAAATAAAAACTGATTTTTTTTCATGGTTAAGCTACTAATTGAAATATCATTGTGTGTGTGTGTGTATCTCTCATAGTTTCTAAGTGTCTGATTGATAATGGCGTTTTATTGCCATAGATGAGGAATCATCGCCGCCGTGAAGCGACGAGCGCAGCGAGCCGGGCGGGGGCGATGGCTTAGTTAGAATCTTAAGTGTCGGCGCAAATGGGCAACCGACCACAGCAACCGGTGGCCAGCAACGGCGACTTAGCACACTTTTTAATATATTTTGTATAGTCGCGCCGCACACGTGCATCCGGTGGCGGACACTCGCTACAGTAGTGTCCGCGACTCGCCACTGTACAAAAAGTGTGTTAAGTCGCCGTTGCTGGCCACCGGTGGCTGTGGTCGGTGGCCCATTTCCGTCGAGCCTCATTGTTTAGTTAGTAAACCCCAAACGGTCGTTAAAGATATAAACGCCGACCGATTGCCTATAACCGCCATCTTGTATTGTTATCTTAGCCCGACTGGCCTGGAACTTTGTCCATTGACCGAATACTATTGATAATGTTGTTTAATTGCCATAGATGAGGAATCATCGCCGCCGTACAGCGACGAGCGCAGCGAGCCGGGCGGGGGAGCGGGCGGCGGGCCGGACCGCGGGCTCGCCAGCATGCACGCGGCGCTGCAGGCGCAGCTGGCGTCGCAGCTCGCGCACCAGAACGCGGTGCTCGCCGCCGCCGTCGCCGCCGCGGCGCAGCAGCAGCACCAGAACAATAATGTCATAGGTATGTGCTTCACTTAGGCCAGCGCCACACTTTACGGAAATGATCGCTGTCTTTCGCTACGGAATGCCAATACATATAATCCCAACTTCCCAACTAATATTATAAATGCGAAAGTAACTCTGTCTGTCTGTCTGTCTGTTACGCTTTCCCGCTTAAACCTCGCAACCGATTTTGATGAAATTTGGCATAGAGATAGTTTGAGTCCCGGGAAAGAACATATGATAGTTTTTATCCCGGTTTTTGAAACAGGGACGCGCGCGATAAAGTTTTTCTGTGACAGACAAAATTCCACGCGGGCGAAGCCGCGGGCGGAAAGCTAGTTGCATATAAATTACAAATAGCGGGCACACTACGCGGAAGATCGGTAGCTCTAATTTTGTATGCAGCAATTTGCTTTGCGGAAGATCCGCGACGGCATTTCCGTCAAGTGTGGCAAACGCCTAAACGGCCTAGACATTCTTTCGCAGCTCCGCCCCAGACTGTGGCTCGCTTTTAACCGTAAATAACATTATCCGGTGCTTTTTTGTATGGAGTTTGACAGCTTTTTGACGTTTATCAAAGTTAAAGTAATATGGTGCAACTCGGCCTTATAGACTAAGAGCTAGCGAACGCCAGATCTACGTCATTTTATAAAAGCTGAAAGTTTGTCAGCGTATGCTCCCAATGTAGGATATAATGTTGGTGAATTATGAAGTTTGGGTCATGGTGGCTTTGGGAGCTACCCTGTAAAAAACTGTCTGGCAAGGAGTTGGAACTGTCAAAACTGTCTGGCTGTTGGGGAAATACTTCTAATTATTGTCCAAATATTATACATAAAAATTAAATAAAAAAATATTTTTCAAAAACAAGCTTTTAATGCTCTAAAAAGAATAAAATAAAACAAACCCATCTACTTATTACTTTACTCAATTTATATTATTAAAAGCTTGTCGCGAGATTTACTAGATGTATGTATTTAACTATTTGATTTTTTTCTAAGATCAAAGTTTTAGCAAGATCAAGTTACGTATTAAATGTAGTTTTTATACAAGTAAATCTCGCGACAAGCTTTTAATCATATAAATTGAGTAAAGTAATAAGTAGATGGGTTTGTTTTATTTTATTCTTTTTAGAGCATTAAAAGCTTGTTTTTGAAAAATATTTTTTTATTTAATTTTATTTTCGACTTTTTAGTATTTATAATGCGGGTTTGAAAAGTTGAAATTTATTGAAACATTTTGGTTAAGGCGCAGCGTTAGTGATTATGACATATTATTTTTTATACACCCTCATAATATTCATATTCAGCTCTCAGCTCGTGCACCTTTGCAATGGGTTATTCATCAAATCAAAATGAAACTACTTACATTCATACTAAATGTAACGAACATTATTCCCATTTGATAGGGTTACGACTTGCGACGTATTAAATGAGCCCAAAGTCTACGGGGTTGTGTCGCTTTATTGCGGAGTTCCTATGGCCACATTCCAACTCCATAATTAGACCCTAGTATCATATAGGATTGAAGTTGTCGTCAATACAAATTAAACGAGCCCAAACTCGATGGTATTGTGTCGTTTTATTGCAAAGTTCATGTGACCACCTTCCAGCTTCATTATCAGACCCTAGTTATCATATTATGTGATTGAAGTGCTCATCAATACGAATCAAATGAGCGAAAACTCGATAAGGTGGTGTCGTTTTAGTGTGGAATTCCTATAGCCACCTGCCGGCTCTATCATCAGATCCTGTTTATCATATAAAATTGAAGTCCTCATTAATACGAATCAAACGAGCCCAAACTCGATGGTATTGTGTCGTTTTATTGCAAAGTTCCTATGACCACCGTGCGGCTCCATCATCAGACCCTGGTTACCATGTAGGATTGAAGTACTCGTCAATACGAATAAAACGAGCCCAAACTCGACGGGGTTGTGTCGATTTAGTACGGATTTCATAAGGCCACCTTCCGGCTCCATCATCAGACCCTGGTTACCATGTAGGATTAAAGTACCTACTCGTCAATACGAATCAAATGAGCCCAAACTCGATGACATTGTGTCGTTTTATTGCAAATTTCCTATGACTACCTTGAACTACCTTCCGGCTCCATCATCAGACCCTGGTTACCATGTAGGATTGAAGTACTCGTCAATATAAATTAAACGAGCCCAAACTCGACGGGGTTGTGTTGTTTCAGTGCGAATTTCCTATGGACACCTTCCGGCTCCATCATCAGACCCTGATGGTTACCATCTATGATTAAAGTACTCGTCAATAAAAATTAAACGAGCCCAAACTCGACGAGGTTGTGTTGTTTCAGTGCGAATTTCCTATGGACACCTTCCGGCTCCATCATCAGACCCTAATGGTTACCATACAGGATTATAGTTCTCGTCAATACAAATTAAACGAGCCCAAACTCGATAGGCCTGTGTCGTTTTATTGCGGAGTTCCTATGACTACCTTCCAGCTCCATCATCAGATCAGCTCCGTGTCATCATAATATTGCATTGTCATCCGACTTACACATGCATGCAAAATTCCAGCTCAATAGAAAACCGGGAAGTGGGTCAATTTTAAGTTGCAAGATTTGACGACAGACACCAGACATGTGAAAGTAATAAAAAGCTTGTAATAATAAAAAGCTTGTAAAAAAATTCGATTTAATGGTATAACGTTAGTAGAATTACAGTCTATTGAATATACAGAAAAAGCCACCGTAAAAGTTAGACTTCGGTTCGTTCGGTGTAGACCCGGCAATGGAATGGTGCTGACACTATAGTTTTTTAAACAAATTTTAACCTTATTGGGTTCTAATATGTATGTCTCCTTATCTTTTAATCTTTACCGGCGCTTTTTGCTCTGTTTTGCTATATTGAATAGGCTAGCTCTTGATCATAATCTCACCCGGGTTTTGTTTTTGAATCACGTAACCTTTAGTCTTTAGACATAAATAAAGTACATATTGGAAAACTATACACTTATCAATAAAATAATTGAAAAGACAATGGTGGCTTTGGTGGCAGCACTGTAGATTACTGCTACGCACAAAAACTGTAAATGTAAATGTTACGAGTTTACTTCTCAGCGGAAACGTAGCAAGAGTAGAGAGCTTTTATTCACAAAGTATACAAACATTTATGAAACTAACCATGCAGTTTCCCTTTAAAGCACATTCATCGTAGCTAAGTAGTAGGTACTCTCTGTTCTACATTTGCAAATCGAATGGGCTTTTTTCTAAACCTAGTAAATACTCCCAAAAAAGAGAAGTTAAAGTTCTCTCCATTCCCAGCGGAATATTTGTGAATACGTGTGCACCGGCTTTTTTAAGTAAAACCTAAATAAGTATGCAGCTTCACTTAAAATCTTTCTTCTAGTCTTTTTAAGCTTCTCAAACATTGCTTTGGTTTCAAATATTCATTTAGTTTTTCTGTAGTTAAAGATACTGTCCGTATGCATTATATTTTAAGAGCCGACCGATTTATCATAGTTTTACTAGTTAACCGATAGTGCATTATGCTTCACAATGCAATGACAAACGACCTGAGGACTATTATACCCAAATGGCCGTGTAGTCAACGCACATTGGAGTGAAAAATTTGTTTCGTGATTCAGCGTTTTCAGTAACTATTAATTACCGAAACGAACTTACTGTTGAAAAATTGAAACAGTAATGTTTAGTCCGTGGTTTAGTAAACAAAAAACCGCTTCTTACAATATTCATTCTTCATTTTATCAGATATACTATGTTTTTATGTACCGCATTGGGTGTTAATATCGCGCTAACTTTGCTAGAAAGAATATTATCAATTTCTATAAACGAATGGGTTTACTACCAGTTGTTAACAATTGTAACATAACTGATGTTAAATTATAAGTTCTTTGGTATACTTAGATACGCCGCGCCATGTAGACAATACGTTTAATTTATTAATACATAATTACATAGATATGAGTTTATTATCATCGTCTTATCTGTTACGTGTATTTGAAACCGTTTTAATGCAATAATTTTATCACATTTATGGCTAATATAAACATGTGGTTTTCCTTTATCAACACTTTTTAATGTCACTGTATAATATTATAACAATTGATCTTGTTATACATATTTGCGGTTTCAATAACGGTATTAATTACTAACCGAAAATGATAATTAGCTTTGAAAAGTCTAATAATTATGTCGGCTAATGAGTTTCATGTGAATTTTTAAATAGTTGGCGAGTGGTGGTGATTAAAAAGCAACTGTTGTTAATCGCATAACGTCGGTGTTTGAAGGAGTGGCGCGTGCCAGGAATTACCGCATCCTGGCAGGACGGGGGCGATGACCCGGCTTGCCAATCGTTTGCTATGCAATCATACGAGCTGTAGTCTAGACAACAAACAAGCCTCGCGAAACGTTCAATTGATATTAACCATTTATTTAATCCTGCATAATCTTCTTGAACAATACTCGATTGCAACCGTCGGAAGTTGGTGTGATATGCTTTAAGACAGTTATTCACCACTCATTTAGGCTGGTGCTTGAACTGGCCAACGATGAAGTTTAAATTCGATTAGTTGTATAATTTTCATACTGTAAACCGTAATCGCGTTTTACAGGTCGATCAGACAGTGGAATCGTAGACTCTACAATAGTATTCTTCTAGAATTTAATTTAAAGTTAAAAATCTTACTTCAGACACCTTGGCTTACTTTTGCATCTAATTGATATGGGCTAGTTCTATGATAGGTACCTACCTATTATAAACTTATCAAACAGCAATATTTGGCACGGAGAAATCCCAAAACAATAAAGCACAATTACTCATAGGCATCTAAAACCTCAACTTACATTTGGTACGCTAGTAATTTAGTCCAAAATATTTTAATCCTTATCATGCAATATACATACTACGATAACATGTCAATTTTACTCATTACCATTATGACATGAAATCAAAATTTTGATAATAAATTAGCCGATTCTACGAAACAATATCTTGGGGAAAGTTTGTATCCATCGTCGGCGGAAGAA